TGTGGGAGACGAGGTTCCTTAGCCGTTTGCACATTTTGAAACTAAAAGACACTATTTTGCGAGTGCCCACGGGTGAAGCCGCATTAGCTGCAGATCCAGGAAAAAATGAAGACTGTTATGCACAGTTAGTGAATGCCCTGGATGATAAGAGCCTGTCATTGATAAGACATGATGCCGCCGAGGATGGAAGGAAAGCCCTGCAATTATTGAGGGAGCACTATTCAGGAAAAAGCAAGCCAAGGATTCTAAACCTGTATACATCATTGACCACCATACAAATGGCAGACAACTGTTACTGATTACATGATAAGGGCTGAGAATAAAATTGCAGCTCTACGTGATGCAGGAGAGAACATGAGTGATGGGCTGCTTGGAGCCACCATTTTGAATGGACTGCCAGATTCATTCAGGCCACTGGCTGTCCATGTAACACAGAACGAGGACGATGTTACATTTAAAGACTTCAAGAGAAGACTGAGGGTCTATGAAGAATCTGAGAAGATGAGGACGACTGGATCTATGGACAGTGTGATGAAGACTAACACAAGGCAAAGTAGACAAGGCACCAAGACACACTGGAAGAATGGAGAAGCCACTCTGACTTCAGTGACTTGTTACAAGTGTGGAGAAAAAGGACACATTAGAAGCAAGTGCACCCAGAAAGTGTGGTGCAGTCACTGCAAGAGCAACACACACACAGAGTCCCTGTGCAGGGAAAAGGGAAAAGAAGACGGAGCCAGGAAGGTTGCAGAGGAAGAAGAGGAGGACAACGGCGACGAGGATCATTGCTTCATGGCCAAGCAGGCAAACAGCAAGAGGCCATCAGCCAACGTAAAGAAGAAAGGCATCATGGTGGACGCCGGAGCGACATCCCACATAGTGAACGATATCGCCAAGTTCAAGAGCTTTGACAACACATTCCAGCCCGACACCCATTCAATCGAGCTGGCGGATGGGACCAAATGCAGCGGGATGGCACAATGCAGAGGGACGGCACTGATCTACCTGCTAGACAACGATGGACGTCAATAAAGAGCACAGCTGCATGAGGCACTGTATATGCCGACGTATCCACACGATATCTTCTCAGTGGCAAGAGCAACAAATGGAGGAGCGACAGTCACTTTCAAGAAGGGGGACAGCCACATGATCACCAAGAGTGGTAACAACCGGTTTGACCTCCATGAAAGTGGTAATCTGTTTTACTTGCCAACTGTTCAGAATTGTTTTGATAAATGTAATGTGTGCCACGACATGCAAACTTGGCATGACATTTTGGGACACTGCAATTATGAGGATGTACAAAAGTTACTGGGTGTGGTAAAAGGCATGGAGATAAGAGGCAGTGCAGTCAGGCCAGCACAGCTGTGTGAAATGTGTACAAAAGGAAAATTAACCCAGACAAGGAATAGGGAGCCAGACAGAAAGGCTACAGAACCTTTACAGCTGGTCCACACTGATTTAGCCGGTCCCATGAGAACCCCAAGCTTAGAAGCGCACAAATATGCAGTCTTTTACAGACGACTATTCGGGTGCCATAACTGTTTATTTTCTCAAATCCAAAAGTGATGCAATACATGCCACAGAGAGGTTCTTGGCAGACTCAGCACCTTATGGAAAAGTAAAATGTTTACGTTCAGACAACGGTGGCGAATTTACTAATAGAGAATTCAAATCACTGTTAACCAAAAATAGGATTAGACATGAGACATCTGCACCCTATTCACCTCACCAAAACGGCACAGCAGAGAGAGGTTGGCGAACCCTCTATGAAATGGGCAGGTGTATGCTGTTAGACAGTAAGTTGCCAGACACACTGTGGAATTATGCTGTACAGACGGCAGCCTATGTAAGAAACAGGTGTTACAGTAATCGCACAAAGAAAACACCTTATGAGATGCTCACAGGCAAGAAGCCAGACATGTCCAAACTTCAGACATTTGGATCTGTGTGTTTTGCCTACACACAAGAGAAGGGGAAGTTAGATTCCAGATGTGAGCAGGGCATTTTTATTGGATATGATAAGAACAGTCCAGCTTATCTTGTGTACTGTCCAGACACAGATAAGGTCCAAAAACACAGGTTGGTGAAATTCACAAAGAAGACAGCCAAAGAGAAAGAAACACAGACACCTGGGTCACACATTGAATGTCAGGACAGAGAGGTACAGCCCAGGGTCCTTGACAATGAGGAAAATGTTGATGAACAAATGGGAAATGCATCAGGTCAAAGTGTTCAAGGCGATGTTTCTGTGGCTGAATGTGAACAGCCAGGCACTGAGAGTGAGGCTAGAAAGAACCCACCTAGAGCTAGGAGAAAGCCAATGCACTTCCAGGATTATGAGACTGAGGATACAGTAGACCAACTGGTAACATGTGTAGACTCTTGTTATAGACCTGAACTTGCTCCTATGGGTATTGTCCACAGTATCTGACCATTATATGTGTAATGTGTGTATATGTAAAGCGCTTTGAGTCATTGAAAAAGCGCTATAATAAATGTAAGGAATTGTTATTATTAATTAAAAGGCAGGAAGATTTAGTTTTACACCAAATGGATGTGAAAACTGCATACCTGCATGCACCCATTGATTGTGAGGTGTATTTGGAACAACCTGAAGGTTATGAGAAAAGTTAGTATGCAAATTACAGAAGTCCCTATATGGTCTAAAGCAGTCAGGCAGAAACTGGAATGCTCTGTCACATGCATATCTCACTGAAAATCCTGCTGATCACTGTCAATACACAAGGGGGAAAACAAAACGAAGTGATTCTGATTGTATGGGTTGATGATCTGATAATTGCTGCTAACAATGAGGAGGTTGTGAAAAGTGTCAAAATGATGCTCACTGATAGGTTTAAAATGAAAGACCTGGGGAAATTAAACAATTGTCTTGGTATAGATTTTAACCAGTCAGAGGGTCAAGTCACAATGTCACAGGAAAGGTATGTGAACAAAATCCTCTCCAGATTTGGAATGCAAGATTGTAGGGCCAGAGAAACCCCATGTGAGTCCAAACTTGAATACACAGAAAATGCTGAAAAAATGGAAGAGCCAAGGATGTATAGAGAGGCAGTAGGAAGTCTGATCTATTTGGTTACATGCACTAGACCAGATTTAAGTTTTGTGGTCAGTAAACTTTCCCAGCATTTTGCTGAACCAAGTGAAGAGCATTGGAGCACTGTGAAGCATGTGTTCAGGTATCTTAAGGGTACAACAGACCGTGGATTATGCTTTAAAAAGGATGACGCAGGTAAACTGGGCCTAATAGTCCATAGTGATGCAGACTGGGCCTCAGAGGTTACAGACAGACGTAGCACCACAGGGTACTGTGCCAGTCTGAGTGAGAGAAGCTCTCTCATTTCATGGAAGAGTAGAAAACAACCAACAGTTGCACTGTCTACCTGCGAGGCAGAATGCATGGCCTTAGCGTCAGCCATACAGGAGTGTATGTATTTACAACAGCTACTCAAGGGTATTGATGAGTATCAATATGGGCAAACCAAGGTTTATGATGACAACCAAGGAGCTATTGCACTTGCCAGAAATCCAGTAAATCGGCAGCGGTGCAAACATATCGATATTAAATATCACTTTATCCGAGAAACTGTGAACAGTGGGAGGATATATTTGGAATATTGTCCTACTGACAACATGGTAGCTGACCTAATGACAAAACCAGCCACTAAGCTACAACTGAAAAAGTTTGCTCAGTATTTGTTTGGCACTTAAAGTGCAAGAAATGCATATATGTGCCATTGTATTTTGTTGTTAATTTTGTATTGAAGGCCAAATGGAGAGAATATTTGTTTTGTTTGTATTCTGTTATGAAAATGTACCACAATAAGCTAGGATCGAGTGGGGGTGTTAAATGTTGTACCATTATGTGCGCCCTTGCTCATTGTGTCCTGCAGAGGGCAATGTTGTCTGCAGTGCGTCCAGGACGTGACGTCACTGACTATACCTTGCGCTACCTGTGGCTCGAGATGTTGTTTGGATCGAATACAGAGCGGCAGCACAACCGCATCTCTCCTACCACGATATAAATAAATATGCCTAATAAAGGCTGAAGAAAGCTGTCTACTACTGAGTTCTATTACATCTCCACCGCAACGCACTCCGCCTAACAAGAAGTAACTAAGTACATTTACTCTAGAACTGTACTTAAGATTCCAGTCTACGAGAAACTTAGGTTATATAAGTGTTACGGCCCGTCTACACTACAGGCGTCGAAAAAGCTTGAAGCTGGGCGTGTCTGAGGCTTGGCGATTTTTTGCGAGCAACGCGACCAACAACCAATCACATGAATCTCCCGCCCCCGACATACAAAGCAATAGCAATGTTAAAACGAAGTAAACTGGATATAAAATCCCCAAACAGGCGAAAACCTAGCAGTTTCACCCGCTGTCTCTGCCACCTCCCTCCATGCCTCGCTCCTCCGGTTTGTATCCCGGTAGATGAACAGAGACTGATCATACAGCACCGGGTGATTCACTACCGCTATAATGAATTTTCCCTCCATTTTTTTGAATATGAGGAAATGACCTGCGTAGTCTCTCCCAGCATACACGCGGTTTGATTGGCTAGCTTGTACTGGCAGATTTGCATAAACGGGATTTCATTGGCTGACGCCAGCTTCGAGCAAGCATCGAGCCTCAAAAGTTGAACATTGTTCAACTTTTGACGCCGATAGACGCTCGCGATGCTTGCAACGCCTTGCCATGCTACCCACAATGCAGTTCGGCGAAGTTTGAAAATATCCTACGTCACCCCATTCAAATGAATGGGCGAAGCGTTGAAAGCATTTTTTGACGCCTGTAGTGTAGACGGGCCGTTACAGCCATTATTTAGTTTTCATAAGAAAGGCCACCTAGTTGTGACGTCTGTAGTCAACACACTATAAAAGACTACAATTCCCACAGCTCCCGTTACCTCCCATTAGCTCCCATTAGCTATCGGGAGCTCCCGATAGCTCCCATTATCTCCCGGTGCAAACTCACCTGAACGAAGGTTGTTTTCCCGGATCCCGTCATCCCGGTGTCTCGTCCCGGTGTCCCGGTGTCTCCCCCCGGTGTCCCGGTGTCTCCTGAGGCCGTTAAACTCTCCCGGTTCTCCGGTAAATCCTCCGGAGCTGCGGAGGCCATGGCTGCAGTCGAATAGTCCAAAATGCAGCTCCTAACGTATATCCCTTGAACTCTGTGTGAAACGTCACGGGGTTAAGGGATAGTGGATAGGACAATTCAAAAGGACTATTAGGAGAAGAGACTGCGGTACTTTCGAGAATCCGTCTGCACTCTTCAGGTCTTCAGGCTGCAGGCGGCGGGAGGGTTGCTTCTTCTTCTTCTTCTTCTTCTTCTTCTAAAGTAGGAAGAACCAACTTGCTGTATGGACGGATGCAGTGCTTTGTCTGAGGGGGCTGGTGGCAGGGTTATGGCTAGATCCGTGTTGTGTAAATATGACGTCACGTTCTCGTTGTAACTCTCGTTGTAACTCTCGTTGTAATCGGAGCGGCTCGGAAACACATCTACAGCAGAAACATGCAACATACACATTAAATGCAGCAGAGAAACATCAGACATAATAGTAAAACACTGAAAGGGAACATGTTATTGCACCAGGAGCTATCTTGGGACTTTTACTGCGACAACGTTGACTTGCCTGTGGATAACAAATAAACCATAGTGTTAGTGATCTACAGTGTTGTCATTCTTCTTTGAACAGCAAGACCGCTAACACCCTATTTCAACAATCACACTCCCTGTCATTGACAAGATTAATAGATAGTTTAGCTTCTCACCATCATTTGCTGTGGCCCACTGATGTTAACGATCGTAACTGAAAGGCTGCCTGCCAAACGTAGACATTCAGCCACGTGACTTGCAAACTCTCGCGAGAGTTTTACACAAGACGGATCCTTTCTAGCCATAACCCAAGCTGCTTCTCAGGTCGACTATTTTCATTTCCTCGCTCCTCGGTCCTCGGTCTCACCGGAAGTTGATTTGCCTGCGCCATCTTGAGTACCGTCCCATGGCTCTTATTTCTGCCGGAGGAGCGAGGAGCGAGGAGCGAGGAGCGATAATGGAGGAGCGATAATCGAGGAACCACCAGACCATCCTCCGATGAAATCCTCAGATACTCGCCCCGCCCCCTTACTGTGTATCGCTCACTGATTGGACAATGCAGTGCATGCACTGATCTCATGCTTCTTGACATGAGAGCAGTTTCCCAGCGGAGTGAAGAAAATACATAAACCTCACGGGACTCACTCCTCAGTCTATACCGTGTTTTGTTTCAATTCATGTTTCATTTAGTTACAAATATGTGAAATATCTGAAAATCATTTTATTCATTTTTTGGAAACATATTCATGATCGCTTTTTTCGTTTTACATTTTCATTTATTGTCATTTCCATTCAGTCAGTCATTAAGTGCTATTTAAAATGTTAATGTGCTCCATATCCATACAAACACACAAAGTGTGCAATCCAATGAATGTTAATCTAACTGGAAGAACCAGCACCTTACCGTGGTAGAGAGGTTTGTGTGCCCTGATGAACCTGGGGGCTGTGTTGTCTGGAACCTTGTGTTCCTGGTAGGGTTTCCCATGGCAAATTGGTCTCAGGCAAGGGGCCAGACTAAGATTGGTTCAAAAGACCTCATGAAAGACGATACAAGAAGTGAGGATACCCGGCCCGGAGGAAGCCCGGGGTCCCCTTCTGGAGCCAGGCCCAGAAGGAGGACTCGTCGGCGAGCGTCTGGTGGCCGGGCTTGCCACGGAGCCCGGCCGGGCCCAGCCCGAAAAGGCAACGTGGGCAACACCTCCGCTTCTCCGTCCCGCGGGCCCACCACCTACGGGAAACATCAATGGGGTCGGGTGCGCTGCCAGAAGGGTGGCAGTGAAAGCGGAGGGTCTCGACGGACCAGACCCGGGCGACAGAAGCTGGCTTTGGGGACGTGGAACGTCACCTCTCTGGGGGGGAAGGAGCCGGAGCTTGTGCGGGAGGTGGAGCGTTACCAGTTGGATCTGGTTGGGCTCACCTCTACGCACAGCGTCGGCTCTGGAACCTTACTTCTGGATAGGGGTTGGACTCTATTCTTCTCCGGAGTTGCTCAAGGTGTGAGGCGCCGGGCGGGTGTGAGGATACTCACAAGTCCCCGGTTAGGTGCTTCGTTGTTGGAGTTTACCCCAGTGGACGAGAGGGTCGCCTCCCTACGCCTGCGGGTTATGGGGGGGAAAACTCTGACTGTTGTGTGTGCTTATGCACCCAACAGCAGTTCAGAGTATACGGCCTTCTTGGAGACCCTGGAAAGAGTCCTGTATGGGGCTCCTGAAGGGGACTCTTTAATCTTGCTGGGAGACTTCAACGCACATGTGGGCAATGATGGAGACACTTGGAGGGGCGTGATTGGGAGGAACGGCCCCCCTGATCTGAACCGGAGTGGTGGTTTGTTACTGGACTTCTGTGCTAGTCATGGATTGGCCATAACAAACACCATGTTCGAACATAAGGATGCTCATAAGTGTACGTGGTACCAGAGCACCCTAGGCAGAAGGTCCATGATCGATTTCGTTATCGTATCATCGGACCTGAGGCCGTATGTTTTGGACACTCGGGTAAAGAGAGGGGCGGAGTTGTCAACTGATCACCATCTGGTGGTGAGTTGGGTCGAGTGGCGGGGGAAGCCTCTGGATAGACCTGGTAAGCCCAAACGTGTAGTTCGGGTGAACTGGGAACGTCTGGAGGAGGCCCAAGTTCAGGAGGCCTTCAACTCACACCTCCGGCGGAGCTTTTCGGGCATTCCTGTGGAGGTTGGGGACATTGAACCAGAGTGGTCGGTGTTCAAAGCCTCTATTGCCGAAGCCGCGGCGGGGAGCTGTGGTCTCAAGGTCCTAGGTGCCTCAAGGGGCGGTAACCCTCGAACCTCCTGGTGGACACCGGTGGTCAGGGAAGCCGTCCGACTGAAGAAGGAGGCCTTCAGGGATTTGTTATCCCGGGGGACTCCCGAGGCAGTTGCAAGGTACCGACAGGCCCGAAGGGCAGCAGCCTCATCCGTGGCCGAGGCAAAGCAGCGGGTGTGGGAGAAGTTCGGAGAAGACATGGAGAAGGACTTTCGGGCGGCACCAAAGTTGTTCTGGAAAACTGTCCGACACCTCAGGAGGGGGAAGCAGGGAACCATCCAAGCTGTGTACAGTAAGGATGGGACGTTGTTGACCTCAACTGATGGAGTGTTAGGGCGTTGGAAGGAACACTTTGAGGAACTCCTGAACCCGACAACTCCGCCCTCTATGTTAGAGGCAGAGCTGGAGTATGACGGGGGATCAACACCAATCTCCCGGGGGGAGGTCACTGAGGTCGTCAAACAACTCCACAGTGGCAAAGCCCCGGGGGTGGATGAGATCCGCCCGGAAATGCTGAAGGCTCTGGGTGTTGAGGGACTGTCATGGTTGACACGTCTCATCAACGTTGCGTGGAAGTCGGAAACAGTACCGAAGGAGTGGCAGACCGGGGTGGTGGTTCCCCTATTTAAAAAGGGGGATCAGAGGGTGTGTGCCAATTACAGAGGCATCACACTACTCAGCCTCCCCGGGAAAGTTTACTCTAAGGTACTCGAAAGGAGGGTCAGGCCGATTGTCGAACCTCAGATTGAGGAGGAACAATGCGGATTCCGTCCTGGTCGTGGAACGACGGATCAGCTTTTTACTCTCGCAAGGATCCTGGAGGGGGCCTGGGAGTACGCTTATCCGGTCTACATGTGTTTTGTAGACTTGGAGAAGGCGTATGACCGAGTTCCCAGGGAGTTACTGTGGGAGGTGCTGCGGGAGTATGGGGTGAGGGGGTCTCTACTCAGGGCCATCCAATCTCTGTACTCCCAAAGCGAGAGCTGTGTCCGGGTCCTCGGCAGTAAGTCGGACCCATTTCCGGTGAGGGTTGGCCTCCGCCAGGGCTGCGCTTTGTCACCAATCCTGTTTGTAATATACATGGATCGGATTTCGAGGCGTAGTCATGGGGGAGGGGGTCTGCAGTTCGGTGGACTAAGGATTGCACCACTGCTTTTTGCAGATGATGTGGTTCTAATGGCTTCATCGGTCTGCGACCTTCAGCACTCACTGGATCGGTTCGCAACCGAGTGTGAAGCGGCTGGGATGAGGATCAGCACCTCCAAATCTGAGGCCATGGTTCTCAGCAGGAAACCGATGGACTGTCCACTCCAGGTAGGGAATGAGTCCTTACCCCAAGTGAAGGAGTTCAAGTATCTCGGGGTCTTGTTCTCGAGTGAGGGAACAATGGAGCGTGAGATGGGCCGGAGAATCGGAGCAGCGGGAGCGGTACTGCAGTCGCTTTACCGCACCGTTGTGACGAAAAGGGAGCTGAGCCAGAAGGCAAAGCTCTCGGTCTTCCGGGCCATTTTCGTTCCTACCCTCACCTATGGTCATGAAGGATGGGTCATGACCGAAAGAACGAGATCGCGGATACAAGCGGCCGAGATGGGTTTTCTCCGCAGGGTGGCTGGTGTCTCCCTTAGGGATAAGGTGAGAAGTTCGGTCATCAGGGAGGGACTCGGAGTTGAGCCGCTCCTCCTTCGCGTCGAAAGGAGCCAGTTGAGGTGGTTCGGGCACCTAGTTAGGATGCCACCTGGGCGCCTCCCTAGGGAGGTGTTCCAGGCACGTCCAGCTGGGAAGAGACCAAGGGGTAGACCTAGGACCAGGTGGAGGGATTATATCTCTTCGCTGGCCTGGGAGCGCCTTGGGATCCCCCAGTCAGAGCTGGTTGATGTCGCCAGGGAAAAGAAAGTTTGGGGCTCTCTGCTGGAACTGCTACCCCCGCGACCCGATCACGGATAAGCGGGAGAAGATGGATGGATGGATGGATGGTTTTGATAGATAACATATCTCTTTTTCTTCTCTCAATTATTTTATTTCTATTGTGCACTCTAATCAATATTAATCTAACTATTGTTCGTTTATACATTTTAAGAATGGCGTTTATCTTTTTTGAGAATGAGTTCTTATTTTATTTAATGTATTTGGGTCTACAACAGATGATACAAATGTTTGTGTCAGTAAATGTGTGCTAACAGAGGCGGGGGTGTGTGTGGAAATAACGGGGACAGAGCTGCTGTCAGACGATCAGCTGTGCAGCGTCATCACAAACGGACGTCGCTTCACGTGACGCTCCGGAGGAAAGGACGTCCCATTGCTCTTAAAACTCATTTCCCTGCTTCTCGTGGTTTCCTTGCGTCCCTCCATGCTTCCCTGGTGGGAGGGACTAAACGCAGGGAAACGACGCAAGTGAGGGAAGCAAGGATTTCATTTAATCGACCTGAGAAGCAGCCCCAGTCTCCTCTGATGTGATGTTACACTGCAACCTGCCTGTGAGACAGAGTCCAACCACACATGTCCAACACATAGGCCTAATAAGAATCAGAATCCCTTTATTAGTCCCACAGAGGGGACATTTGCAGCGTTACAGCAGGAAAGAGCCACAGACAGCTTA